TAAGATAGATTTGTTTGTTCTTCTGGCCGTCCATGGTATTTTTAATATTCTTAACACCGTAACTCAAATGCATCAATTCTTCACTGGTCTTCCTTAGTTATTGTCCAGCTTTCATATGCATATGAGATAACTGAAAATCTACACTTGTTGTTGTTAAAAGTGCCATTGAGTTGATTCCGACTCACAGTGACCCTGTAGAGGGTGTCCGAGGAGCAGCTGCCAGGTCCTGCAGCCCCCTGTTAATAGTGACTCGTGTCTAACAATTCAGTTGAGAAAAGGAAAAGGCCAGTACAGAGGCAATACACTTCCAAGAAACTAAAACAGCTCATGACAACATTAAGTTTCACAAAAACTTTATTTGAGTATGGTCCCACCTACAGTTCTCAGTGCACAAACTCACAGTGCAGCACAGTACCATCCAACACAATCATAGACACGGCAAAACACGTGACACGAACAGTGCACTGCATATAAAAATAAATGACCCTTGAGAAGCCGACTGCAAAGCATTACATGTATCGGAAGTAAACACAACACAACATAGCTAGTGAGGTCCTCCTAACCCCTGAACATGCCCAGATCTGAAGACACAAGGAGTAAAGGATCTGTGCTGTAGCAAACCACTCCTCAGGTAGGCAGATGCTGAGGAGTGACTTTGGGACTTTGTTTGGGGCCCTACATTTTAGAACTGGGAACAAGCACAGCCCTACTAACATGATGTCACTGCCAGATCATTCTACTCTACTCATGTTTCTAAAGTGACTAAGCTTTCATTTTGGGCTTTTCTATGGGAGGAGAAGAGAGGTACAAGTTCAGTCAGAACTGAAGCCAGAGAATAAGCAGCCTAGATTCAAGGAACAAGCAGGGGGCTTCCATCCTTAAATGTCCACAGAAGGGACATCTGAATTTCTCAAGACCAAAGGACATGACTCGAGCCTCCAGAAAGGTGGGAATGAAATAACATGAGTCCGTCCTTTGTGGACCAAGGGGATACCACTGACAAAGAGGCAGTGAGAAATTGGATCACATTCATTACAAGTTCTGAGGTCACAGTGAGGACAGAGAACTGAATGCCACATGGCTGACTTTAAACGACCCACCATGCCAACTCGCCTTTCCTCTCCCAGAGCTATACAATAGCCTAACTTGAGGTTCATTCCCTTTCTGCTCCCAAAGGCAGTGCAGGAAGCCGCCCCTTGAACCCAGGTGGGCAGTAGACCCTTGTGCAGCGCACTGTTGTGACAGTAATGGCCATAGCCCACTGCCAGATCCTGACAGTCCTCTCGTACCCCAGATGCAATAGCGGGAGCACCTTCTTAAACTCTGTTGGCAAACCTAGATGTTATCATCTTTGCTCCTAATGAGTTACCAGGGTAAAATCTAGTACTGGAAAGTCCGGAAAGAAAGTAACCACAAAGTGGTTGAGCCCTGTAGCTACAGCAGGCTTCTGTTAGTTTCTGCCAACCTGAGTCTATTATCTCAGCCATAAATCACACCTCAGGCACCCTTCCAGTGGAAGAATGCTACCAGCAGTCTAAGCTGGAGTGATCAAATCAACCATTGTTCTTGCTCTCTTTCCAAACATGTTCTCATTTCTCCTGATTTAAGTTAACTAAACACTGCCAATGTTTTGTATCTACATTATACTACTGCATGGGAACCTCATCTAGATATAGAAAAACTTCCTCTTCATCTCACACACATGTTGATCATTCCGTAGGGCTTTTTCACCTCACCTGAGGATCAGAGCTTTAGTTATCAGATGATTGTGAGGTGGGCTTTTATTTCTTGTAATTGAGTTCTATGCCCTGAAGGTCACCAGTCTGTGGCACCACCTCAGCTGTCCCTCCCTCCAATTCACCCAGATGTACCCAGCTTTCTCTCTTCTTGAACAGACAGACATTTCCCCTTCCCGATCTGACACATTCTCAGATATCCTTAGCATTCTCCACTTTACAGGTAAGCAGGACAAGACCAGCCATCCATTATAGCAGCCCTGGGTGGTATCAGCAACAGAGATGACAGGAAATGTCTCTTCAACACGTATCTGTCAGGACTAATTCATCATTGATGTGTACTTCATGTCTGGGCATGAAAACAGTATTTCTTTTTAGCTTGACATTCCAGTGAATTTTAAGAAAGTCCCTATCAATATTCTGACTGGCAAGAATGCAAGCACCCGAAGACAGAAAGTTTATACAACACTTTTGGCTACTTAATTCCTAAATGTTTGAAGCTTAAAGGAGGGTACTGTTGCTTCCTAAGCGGGATAGGAAATTTAGGCATTCCAAGCCATGGGAGCCCAGCTTTAACCTTGCAACCCCACTAGGATGATCAGTACGCGGGCCTGCACAACATGTCCTGGGCCAAACTTCTGGTTCCAGGTGTCTCTCACAGCTGTGAGAAAATCTGTTTTACAATTAAGAACTGGCAAGACGTCCATTAGCACAAGATAGCTAAGGGGAGGCAGCCAGCAAAAAGAGCCAACTTTCTTTCCTCCAACAAAATTGTTTTGTGCAAAAGTGGTTTCCAGGCTCTCCAGCTCCATGGGAAAGGTGCAGCATTAAAATTCCTGCATTTTCCAGCCAGCCAGGACTGTCTATTTGCCTGAGCACAGGATTAAGCTACAAGGAGCCTAGGATAGTCCAAACCATGGGATTTTAAAGATCATACAAACAGGTGTCAATTTACACTGAGCAGGTGTGGTGCTGTAGGGTCTGCACTGGACTGTGAATCACAAGGTTGGCAGTTCAAACCCACCAGGTGCTCCTCGGAAACCATATAAAGGGTTGCTATGAGTTGGAACCGATTCGATGGCACTTAACAACAACAACAACAACAACAGTACTAATGAGTACCCAATCACATACACATCACAGGGTGGACAACACAAAAACAAATTCCGGTGCTGTCGTTCAACACTGGTCCCCATAACCGGAGATTAATAATGACTTTACGAAGGCTTCCAGGTCATCCTCACTCCCCACAACAACAGAGGCCTCCCTTCCTTATTCTAAAGTTCTAAAGCAGAAACAGCGCTACTTCTGGGGGTTGGACTTTCTATGCCTTTCTGTATTTTCTATAATAAGCATTTATGACTTCTACATCCAGAATCATTTTTGGGGAAAGAAGAGGTTAAAGCCCACAGTCAATACTAACAGTAAACGAACTCAGAACTCAGATTTTCATTGGTCAGGCAAGACAAAAAAGAGACAAGGAAATTCTAGAGAATTTTCTCAACACAAAATTCTTCAACTAATGTGAGTTTTTGTTAAGTGTTGTGTAGATGCTCAAGAACAACAATTTCTACTCTAGCCTGATTCCCTATTTCTATCCCGGTAAATTCGTTTTGTTCTTAGAGTCTGCAAACTCTAAATGTCTTTACCTTATATTGATAAGAACTATAGCTTACAAGAAGTATTGCTACAGGGTCTCAGTTCATACATGCATGAGCTTATTCCAAACAAACGTGGTTAAACGTAGGTCTGAGATCAGTGGATGACTGTAGACAAGTTCTGTCAGTAATACATTCGCCTTATTCTTCCTTCTTCTTGTTAAGTGTCGCCAAGTCAGTTCCGACTCACAGAGACCCTGTATAGGGTTTCTGAGGAGTGGCAAGTTTGAACCACCAACCTTGCATATCTAATTCACCTTGTGGTTCACTGTTTATCATAAATAGAATATTTTAGTTTGTTTTTGTATTACAAAAGGCTACTTTTTGTTCCATGGGGAAAATAATGATTTTGAGGTTAGGACTGATATAAAATTGTAAACAAACCTCAAGTGGACATCTTCTTCCCAAATTATTGAAGCTTTGCAATAAGTTGAGGGGAATGTGCCCCACATAGACCAACACGTTTCAGTTGCACTGGTGCTGTAGATTGATGTGCTGGACTGCAAGGTCAGTTTGAACCACAAGGTCGGCAGTTCAAACTCACCAGCTGTTCCTTGGAAACCTTATATGGGGTTTCTATGGGTCACAATGACTCCATGGCACTTAACAACAACAAGTGTTTTAAGAAAGGTCGGGAAGAGCACAAAGATGAATTCAAGGTAGAGAGGTCAGCTCCTACAGTTATGGCAATTGATTTTTGGAATTCTGAGGTGTTATTTGGATAGATTTTCTTGAAGAATACTGGATGGTTACAGGGGCTTATCTGGAAGAAGTGTCAAGAAAACGAAAACTGCATTGATGAGAAAAAGGCCAGGACATTTTTAACAAGGAATCTTCATCCGTCATGGCAAGATACCTGCCCCTTTTCAAGGGCCTAAGAGTTGTCCTAGGAGAAGTCTGTTGGGAACCTGACTCCATTCATCTTTTAGCCTCAATCTTGCCCCTTCAGACTCCTTTTGGTTCCCCAAACTCAAAGAACATTTAAAAGGAACACAATTTGATTCTCTTGAGGATGTCAAAACTGCTATTTTGATGTGGTACAAATCAAGAGAGCAGAATTCTTTAAGAAAGGGTTCGAGAGATGGAAACACTATCTTCAAAGGTGCATAGACCTAGATGGAGGAGATGTGAGAAACAACAGCTTCACATTTTGAGATTTTTGTGTAGCAAAGATTTTACAGCAATTCAATTACCCTTGAAATAAAATGGGAAATAACATGTAATTCTGTTGACTACCTCAGGCAGCCTCTCCATGGAGCTGTTATGAACGTTTATAACCACTAGGTGGAGCCAAGCGTTTGAAGAAAACCACAAGGAAAAGAATTTCCTTGTTTCAGAAATTTACAACTTTAATAATATCATATAAAAAGACAGACGCCCTCAATTGAGAAGAAATACAGTGTAATTAAACCCTTCCAGTTGGACATAATACATAGCTGTTTTTTTTCTACTTCATTATGTAGAGTTGAAGTCAATCTTGGTTGCGCTTTTTTACCTATAAGTAAAGGACAAGCTCCTGAATCCAGTACCCCGCAGCTGGAATTGATTCCCAGAGGACCTGTGGGTGCGAGCTAGGCCTTCCAGCTCCAGGAGGAAGGGGCATCCTTTAGAGCTCAGTGGTCAGTAAACACTTCTGCTTCAAGAAGGCTTCTTTGGCCAAAGTCGGAGCAGAGCTGAAAAGAAGAGAGAATGGGTTTATTCAATAAGACTTTTATGGGTAGGGGCAACAACTAATTCCACATGGAGCATGTTGAGAATATACGCCTGAAAGTCAATTACAGACCTAAATGACTAAGTAGTCACACTCGATCTAGTAATGAGAGGCACTGTTCAACAGAAGGGAATTTACTGACGCTCATATGTCATTTTGAAATAAAATCTAAAGATACCACAATTTTCCCTATTTTCTTGAAAACAATATGCCAAATACACATTTAACCATTTTTTCAATGAGTTAATAGAGTGTTCAGCACAAAAGGAAAATCCTCAGGGAATACCAAGGGAAGTTCCCTTCCCTTTCTATAATCCCAGGTGGCTGGCTGGGGTCCTAAATCAGACTACTTTGTTAGAACTAGTGCAAAATAAAAGTATATGTGCACTGCGCAAAGGCCCTGCTGTAAGAAAACCACATGAGCAGAGATGCAAGGGTGTAAGGTGCTCTAGTAGCGTAGTGGTTACAAATCGGGCTGCTAACATCAAGTCCGGCAGTTCGAAACTACCAGCTGTTCCGCGGGAAAAAGATGAAGCTTTCTGCTCCCATAAAGATTTACAGCCTCAGAAACCCTGTACAGGGACACTATGAGTCAGAACCGATTCCATGACATGTAACCAAACAGAATTGGTCAGTGTTCCATCACTTTAAGAGGTATTGCATGATCAAGAACAAATGGTATTAAAGGAAGAGGTCTAAGCTGAAGTGAAGGCATTAGTGAAAAAAGCCTCCAGGAAATGATGGAACACAAAAAGAAGTGTTTCAACAAACTGACGCAGCACTGAAGAACCTCCCTCATCTATGCCAAGAAATTTGGAAGACAGTAACCTGGCCAACTGATGGAAAAAAATCTGTATTTTTGCCCATTCTAATAAAAGGTGAATCAGTGGAGTGTGGAAATCAAACAGTATCACTGATATCACATGCAAGTAAAACTCTACTGAAGATAATTCCAAAATGGTTGCAGAGGTATATTGACAGGGAATTGCCACAAATTCAAGATGGATTCAGAAGAGGATGTGGAATTAAGGCTATCATATCTGATGTTAGTCAGATTTTGGCTAAAAGCAGAAAGTACCAGAAAGAAGTTTGTGTTTGACTATGCAAAGGCATTAAATTGTATGGATCATAACAAATTATAGATGACATCGCAAAAAATGGGTATTCCAGAACACTCAATTGTGCTCATGAGGCATTTGTACATAGACCAAAAGTCAGTCCTTAGGACAAAACAAGGGGATATGAATGGTTTAAAATCAGGAAGGTGTGAGCCAAGGCTGTATTCTTTCACCATACTTATTCAATCTGTATGCTGAGCAAATAATCCAAGAAGAAGGATCATATG